TATTCCAGGTCTGAGCCAGTGACATGTCCCATCAGGCTGTGTGATCACTACCTTAAACAATTGAAATGTATTCTTGCACTTAATCAAAATCAAGGAGAGATGTTACTCCAGCCTCAACTTGCCAATTCAGCCCAAATTGGAACAAGAATATTAAACTAAATTAGAAACCATGCCATTTCCCAGTCATTTCTCTATGAGCTGGAGTTTGGCCAGAATGCTTTTTCAGAGGCTACATATTTGAGCCAACATATCTATCTATAACCATGAAGCAAACTGCCCCCAAGGGAACCCCCTTTTCAGAGGAGGGGAGTGCTAGGATGCATTTAAGATCTGTGCTTACACTTCTCCCAGCTCCTTCACGCTGCCAAGCAACAGAAAAGACTCAAGCTTAAATAAAAGACTTAGGAAAAGACTGAAGACTTCTGAGGAAGCCTGGCAGTGCAGGAAGAGGGGCAGTGCAGCAGCCGTTTCATCTCTCTGATTTCTGTCAGGGACTGGCTTTGTGCTGGGAAGCAGAGGCTGCAGGGATGGACCCAGCCTTTCTCTGCTTCCTTCAAGGTGGCACATCAGAGCTTGGGAATGGGTGAAAACTGCAACTTGGAGCTGGGGACTTTTCTTTCACGTTTCCATTCCAGAATTCGTTATTTTGGAGACCCATCAGCAATGATAAGAACCAGCGCAGAAATACCCACTGAAAGCTTTTTGTGAGGTGATAAACCAGTGTTATTCTGCAGCCAGAAGATGGCAGCCTTAGTTTCAGCCTTGATCCCTTTGGCGCCATGCCCCTTGCTGTGCAGCACAGCTGTGTGCAGCACAGCTGTCTGCAGCTGGCATCTGCTGACAGTGGTTGCCCCCCTAAGACAAAAAAAAAACACAAAAAAACCTAAAAAATATGCCAGGTTCTGCTTTTCAAAATCTGGCCAGACATCCTGGATTTAACTACCGTTTTGATAAAAATGATGGTGCTCAGGCTACAATCCAATTTTTCAAATCCCAACACAAGTGGTAATTACATCCTTTGCTTCCTTTCTAACCCCATCTCGAGTGGAAGCTGTCTCATTGCACCGAGAGTGGCAGTGGAGCTCACAGTTACATTTCATGGAGCAAGAGTTGACAGTGGGAAGACAGAGATAGCAAAGGACATCAGTCTTATGCTTGGTAAGGTCACTGGCAGTGCAAACTCACAGTCCCATCTGATCCATTCATGGTTATAGGCTGGGGCACATCACATCTCCTGGGACCCCTGGAAGAGGACACGGGCAGCTCAGAGGCACCACTGACCTCCTCTGGCACCCAGCAAGTGGCCAGCACCACTCTGCTAAACCTTCACTTTCCACTTGAAAGTAATACATTATCACTTGGAAAACATGTTCTCACTGCTTCTCCTTTGTGTCCTGGGTTATTCTCTCTCTGCTGTGTAAGATGAGTTCAAAAAACAAACCAAAAAGAGCAAAAGACAGATAACAGAAACTAGGAAGCCAAGTGCTATAAATAAAGAACAGAACAGGAACTGCAGTTGGAGCCCAAGGCATTGATTGCCAAGTGCAGGAGCTGAGTGGGAAAAGAAAAAGTTACAGTTCACTAACAAAGAGCACATTTAATTTCCCCTCCTGGATTTTCACCAAGATGAAATTTGCTTTCTCTATGTGTGTGGAAAGTAACTATTGCAGGGAATATTTACAAACTGAAATTGCTTGTTTCCAACAGCTCTGAGGAAGAGAAACAGATCAAAAGAAAGAGAAGTGACGAAAGTATTTTTTCCACAGAAGAGGACTCTCCAGATGTGTCCATTTTTCTATTTCCTGATGCTGCTGTCAGGAACTGGGAGATGAACTTTCTGCAGAAAACGTAAGATCAGCTCTCAGGTTATTCCCAGCATGGTTTCTGGCCAGGGAAAGCCCTTGCTGTCAGGCAGCAGAACCTGGTCAGTGGGACATGGGACCCAAACGATGGGAAACCCGCACGTTACGGACCATCAGACTGCACAAGGTTGGCACATCCCCCTGGCTCGTGTTTTTATTCAAATATACCATAAGAAGTTGTGCCAGTGTTTGGGGCTATGTTTCACCCTGAGAAAAGAGTTCAAACAGCATGAAATAAATTGTTTCACTGTGAGAAGTTAGACACTGGAATGATCCTCCCCCCCCAACCCAGGAAGTGGTAGATTCCCCCACATTGGACACTTTTAGGACTCAGATTGACAGGGTGTTGGGCCATCTCACCTAAACTGTGTTCCTACCTAGGAGGGTTGGACCAGATGATTCTTGAGGTCCCTTCCAACCTGGCATTCTATAATTCTATGATTCTGACTTAATGTGGGCCTTGGCCTCTCCCTTCTCACTCCTTACCTGGGAAGGACAGAGCATCTCCCATCTCTCCCAAGGAAGTGCAGGGCTCTTCCTTCACCAACTGGGGCTCTGAGCACCCTGGGTCAGAATAGGCCTCCAAAAGGCTTTCCCACCCACAGCCCCAGGTGGGGACTCCTCTCGGGCTCCAGCAGAAAGCCATATTTCCATGGTGCTTCAGCCTCAGCAGCAGCTCACTTGGAGAACTGTCAGCGGTGATAAACTCAGTCCCATTCTGTTTCAAAATTGGTTTAAGGAAGATGCCTGGCTGCTGAATATTTAAGCTGAATGTTTAATGTTTGAACAGGGAAATGGTTCTGATTGTCAGAAAGGGCATGAAAGCAGAGTGGAAACTAGTCCATAATCCCTGACAAAAACAGCCCTTTTGCTGGTGCCTGGGAGCTGCAGGAGTTTAAAATGATTGATTAAAATGCCAATTTTAATCAATAGCTTTTGTTTCATTTGACGCTTACCACTCCCACAGCAGTGAGACCTGCTTTGTCCTCCACAAAGTGGGGAATGTTGTAGCTGGTCCTGTTTAACATTTTGAGATGTATCCCCACTGGGGGAGCTGTTTAATGCTGCAGAACCATTTCATGCCACAAAAAGCTTGTCAGGAGTGAGCCAATGCTCCCTCCCCAAGCCCTTGGGCAGACCCTGTGGCTGTGCCAGGCTGCATGCACAGGGTAGTCTTCACCCACAGCAATCCCTGCTCAGTAATGTCAGGGGCTGAGGACAACAAACTCAGCAGGGAGCCATGCAGTCACACTAATCACTTTCCCTCCCTCTAAAATGTTCCTAAATTGGGTGCTAATCCGACCTGTCATATGACCTGTAGCATTTAATACTGCAGAGTAGTAGTGATCGAAATCCAACATTGCTGCCTCCTTCTGAGACTATTCTGTCCAGTGTGGGTAATTTGAAGTGTACATGTGAATTCAACACAAATGGGAAAGTTTAAACTGAAAATGTAGATAGTCTTATTATAAATAATCTGTTCAGGTGCTTTTTTTTTCCCCCAGAGAAACCAGTAGTGGCTGCCCGATCCTTGTACCGAATGGATATGAACAATGATCAAAGTAGCTCAGGAGAGGTGCTGAATGTACCACCTTTTATTTGTGGTAGCTAATAGTGGCACCCTGAGCACCTGCACACATCTGATGAAAAGGGGCTGCTGAAGCACCCCTTCCCTCTGGAAATGGCTTTTGGTTTGAAGCCCACCAGCACCAAGGCTGAGATTGGTCTGCGTTTATGGTGTCTACAAGGCTTTTGTACAAAGAAGTGAGAGAATGTACAAATGTGGTTGAAGCAGAAGCCAGAAGTGAAACAAACTTGGGGAGGCAGGTATTTCTGTTGGCATATACATAGAGATCATATTGAGCAGAGCAAAGGCTTGGTGGCTGCTGCATGTGATGTGCCTAACGATTTAACATACCAGAGAAAAAACAACTTCCAGAAACTCACAAAAAACAAGGCAAGGAAGAATCTGAAGAAAAGTTTATAGAGGAGCTCATCTTATCAAGGTTTCAGGACCATTGAAAGGCACATTTCACCCATGTTGAAAGACAATTGAGTTCATGGACACATACAATGCTCACGTTTCATGGCAAAAAGACTGTGTAATGATGGTGTGTTGTGAAACATATATTCCAGACTTCAGTTAAACACTAAAGTGATTATTTTAAGTGTGTCATGTACATAATAAAAGCAGAACAGGCAGATGCATCCAATTACTGTAATTTACAAGGCAGTAATTCAGCCCCCAAAATATTTCTCCTTACTGGAGGAAGGCAGTACAGATTACAAGTAAAATGAGGGGCAGCAAACTGACAGGGAGTCAGGAAGCTGCTGCCATTTGGAAAATGACAGCTAGCACCTGCTGCAAGTCAGAGGGGCTTTAACTTTGCTAAGTAATTTCACTGCTTCAACAGTGAACGACTGGGCTGGATCAGATGCTCTTGGGCCAGAAGGTAGCTGAGAGCCATGCTGTGGCCCTGCTGCACCGATGCAGACACCTTAAAGAACAGATAAACACGGGTCTTTGCTTGGTAGCAGGCAGAATAAAGACCACTTGTGCTTCCTCTCTCATCACTTAGTGAACTGCTCCGTGCTAATTACCACTTTTCATCTAGTTTGTGGCTGATTTTCACATTGCAATGATTAATAATTAATCAAATGCATTTTTTAAAATTAATTTGACAATTCTATGTCTGATTGGCGTGCTAATCTCTTCCATGCAGTGAGGATGTTATGGGAATAACCTCAGGTATTCTGAGCTGCTAATTGAGGTGAATACATAAAGGCATTTATAATTTTGTGTGGTAAAAAAATAAGGTGGGGAGTGGAAAAAAATGCATCCTCCAAGTCCTCTTTGGCTTTCAAGGAAGGTGTGATCTGCATTTGCCTTGCCTGTATTAGTAATATATCATTGATATTATCATGTCCAATCAAAACAAATGGACAAGGAAAAGGCAAAATTGAAAATTTCCCCCAGAGATGTTTTATTTCTCTTTAGCTGGTAGCAACTGCAGTAGATTTGATGCATTAATTATGGTACTAAAAAGAAAAATCACCAGGAGAACAACTTTCACCCTTTCCAGCCATCCATGCCACTTCTCTTCAAAAACGACACTCAGCAGGTAAAAGGGAAGAAGAGGAAACACGCAGCTTTCACTGGATGTGTAGTCCTCACTAGTTTCGAATTAGTAGTCCCTTTTTACAGGCCATCAGCACCACAGCAGCCACGGAGGTGAGACACACGGTAGAGCTAAGCAGGCACAGCAGTCCTGGCACGGACGGCAGGTTCCTCTGCCAGAAGCTGGTGGTGAATGGTTGGGCTGGGACATCCTGGGGAAGAGAGAAGATGGTGCCATTGCAGGGTCTCCCTCACACCATGTGAGTGGGGAGGTGGCAAACGTCACCCCTCCCAGGCTGGGGAGACCATAGGTTTTCCTGAGGACCAGATCAGGGAGAGGAAGGAAGGTCAGGGCTGTGAAATGCCTGTTTTTCATTGTCAATGGGGCAATGCAGGCAGAGTTACTTGTGACTGGAAGGAGCTTTTATTTAGCTTAAAGCCATGACCTGGGATTGGGGAGAACTAGGCTGATTCCCTGCATTTTGCAATCCCCAGGCTCTGAGATCCTTGTCCCTAGCTCCTGGTCATCTACTCCTCAGACAGGGGTAACAATATTCCTCAGGTGAGTAAAAAATAATAATACTGTCAACATGCAAAGTAACCAAAACTTCACCGAAGAAGGAACACCAGCCTGACTGAGGGGTGCGCACCTGTCTGCGGGACAATTATGCAGTCTGTCTTACCTTTGACTCTGGCTCTGGCATCCAAATTTCATTCTGTGAGATCCTCCCCATAGTGTGCAATATCTAGAAGAAAAAAAAAAATTGTACCACATGAGAAAAAACGAAAACTCACACTGCTTTCACAGTAGCAGCTTCAGAATAGCAGTAGCAGTCAGAGCAAGGTGACATTGCCAAAAGGCATAATGAGGCCTAGCTGAAACTGCTCTGAACCAGAAAATGTATAGTGATTTCTTTGTTTATATCAGCAAAGAGAGAAGAAGGAGGAAGTTTTAGTCATTTGTATAAATATATGAAAGCTGGTCACCAAACCAGCGTCTTATGGATAAAAGGAGTTTCACAGGGCCATTTATAAAAAGCAGGACTTCACTCAGAAATCCACACGAACTACAGCTTCTCCAGGTATTTAATTTCTTTAATTTTTTAATTTTTTTAAAATCACAAGTAAATATGCTTTTTCAGGTGACAGATTGAGAAATAGCAAGGTAAAGGAGGTTACCACCAAGCAAAGCCTGTTATGAGTGTTGCTGCTTAGATCACAAACTAGAAAGAGGAAAGATGCAACTCCAGGGCTTTCAAAGCATACAATTATGATTTTATCTCTTGGCTACTCAGGCCGTACAAAGCTCATTGAGGATTCTTCTTGAGAATAAACTGATTGTTACAATCATGGAGGTTCTTGGGGATAAATGAATGTCTTCAGAGAAGATGGCTCATTGTCCTTGTAGCTACTGTTCACAAGCATGGAGTAAAGAGAAATTAGGTGACTTGAAACAGAACAAGTAATAATGAGGATTATAAGGCAAATATGATGCTCTGTTGATTGGAAGCAAAAGGCTGATTTTGCCTTAGATGACAGCTCCATGACTCTGTCATACAGCAGCTGTAAATGTAACGTACACCCTTTAATGTGTTGGGTTTTTTCCCCTCCCTCCAGACTGTTGTAAAGGGATTTCACTGTGACTGGGAACCCAGACCAATGCATGTCGTTCTGAGGAGATTTAGACATATCAGAACTGCCCATCATGAACTCATAAAACTGAGCTAATAGTACTCACTTGTAAAAGGAGAAGCAGAAGAGAGAGATCAAAAATGAGAACAATGCTCAGATTTCAAGATTGCTGCATAGGAAATAGCTGTGAGCATTTGTAATGACTTAAACTACTTTTAAAACATACGGTGATTCATTTGTTAGAAATTGTGGTGGTCTATCTAAGGGCAGCATCAGGTTGGAAGGTTTTTGCCTCTAGACATGAGGTATACAGCATGAGCTTCATTTTAAGTCTCCACTTTAAGCAACACACTGCATAATGTTTTGATTTGGCTGAGATTTTTTTCTTCGCTTTATTCAATAACAAACTAAGTAAATTAAAAAAAAAAAAAAGAAGAAAGTGTCACATCACAACCTTTTCTGGGGTCCTTCCCCACCAGTTCTAGGAGCCTCTGCACAATTACAGGGTGGGAGGCACAAAATCAGACCCTCGAAGCTGTATTTTATCTCTTTGAACCTTTTAATAGAGATGTTGAAATGAAGCCAACAGTCTATACCTCTCTGGCTGCTCTCTCTCCTGCCTGTACAGCCCCCTCCATGTATCCACTCCACTGGGTAGCTGTCTCCGTGCCAGCAAAGTAGATTCTGTCAACAGGTTGGCGAATGATCCTTCAAAACAACAAATGGAGAATGTCAGATGACATGTAACAAGAAGGCAATGAACCTTCTACTAGCAATTGATGGTCTTCAATGGAGTGCTTAACTCTAGTTCTCTTCAATTCCTGCAGACTTGGGATGGGGAGCATGGTGCAATAGACTGTCCCTGCAGGACCACGTACTTGTTTCTGTACTCAAAACTGAAGATCTGTGAGAGAGAAAGTCTATGGCACAAATCAGTGAGCACAGTTTCCGTGCAAAATAATACAAGCCTTATTGTAGTGCTGGGATAAGGGATAATCCTAATGCAGTGCAGCCAGCAGATTTATGTCTTCTGCCCAGCAGCTTTACTGTTACCCAGACATTACAATGGGATGTTTTTGCAGTGATGGGTCACTAATATGAGCTCCTGTTTGGGGGATGGACTTGCCTGGCTGCAAATCTTGCCAAAAGGGGACAGCAACATTCACTCCGTAGGGTTGTATAAGCCAGCTCCTCAGCTGTGCTAAGCTGCACAAGCATCTCAGTCAACCCAGCCCTAGCTAATGAGCTCCCTTTCCCATAGAGAGATGTGCTTGCTCTAAGGGTTCCCATCTAACCCCCCAGTTAGGCTTTCCCTGTCTGCCTGACGCCAGCTTCCCCAGGTCAGTGGCCTCACCCATCACTACCCAAGTGTTCAGATAAATTACAACAGAAGAAAGAGTCTATGCATGAGATGACTTTTTCCCACACACATTTGACACAGAGGCAGGGTCTAACTCCATGATGGACATGCTAAGGAGCTCACACTGAGATGTGCTACATGGTTTGTCTGTTCTTTGGCTATGGGGACAAGATTTTTCTGGTTTTCCTGTTACATGCTCAATTGTGCCTTCCCCACACTTTTCAGTGATATATCTAGTATTACTCAGTATTATCTAACACACTGCTTTAGGAATATAGCAATTCTATGTGGGGAGGGCATGGGGGGCTTTGCAGGGTGGGAGGAAAGAACAAAGTTTTCACGTAAGGGTTTTTTTTCTTCGTTTCATTATGGTCTTTACCAGAACCTGATGCTCCACCTATGCCATCAGTGGAGACTTTTCATCTCTCCAAGATGTGTGCCCTCAAGCTCTCAGAAAGTGCTAAAGGGATCTATTGTAAATACTGCGTAGCAGCAAATACTGTAAGTTATCCGGTGGGGAAAGGTTTCCTGGCTCTAGCAGGTCCCTTAGTGACTGTGCTTTGTTTCCTCAAAAGTCACAAAGAAGCTCTGCTTGTACTGAAGTCAATAGCAAGATCCTTGCTAGTCTCTGTCAGAGAGTAGGGAAGCAGAAATAGGGTTGGAGTTCCCCCAATATGTTACATATGCTGTAAGTTTGTTGCAAAAGGTGTATCACTGTACATGAGCTAAGAAATGTAAATTAGAAAGTAAAGCACTCTCTGGTTTACCTTCCGTAAGAATACATTATGCCTGGTGGGAAGTAGGCTGTGTAACAACCCCCTGAATATTGCTCCATGTTCCAGTTCTTTTCTTCATAATGCACGGGCTGTAAGTACAACAAACCTTAGAGAGTGCAACAGTGGCAGAAAAATTGCAAATAAAAAACAAAATTTCCTTTGAAGAGGGAAAAAACAGGCTAAGGATACCTGTCAAAAGAGTGCCATGTCATCTGGGTAATGCTATCCATCTGCACAAAACAAATCTTTGCATTTTTACAGAAGCACAAGCCTTCCACAGGGAAATGACAGGACAAATTAAACCATGCACTCTCTTTTTTTTTGTTTGTTTGTTTGTTTGTTTTGTTTGTATGTTTGTTAGTTTGTTTGCTTGTTTTGTTTTGTAAAGAGTGAGACTGGCAGCTCTTTTCTTTCTGGACTAGATGCTGCTGCTCTCCCCTTGGGAGCACAGATTGTATGGCACAACAAGCAAATTTAAGTATATATTTTAGGTACAAGGAATTTTGGCTTAATCCTCCAGAACAAAGGAACAATGTTACTGTAAAACAGAGGTGAAAATAAGGCATTCTTTTCTTACATGTAAAGCGTCTTCCATCCCCATTGCCCTGGCATATGCCTCACAGATCTTCTTCTTCCTATATGAAAGTAGAATCAGAGTGAGGAAAAAAATAGGCAGAAAAAAACCTCTCAGGTATTGCTCTTCTTCTTAAAAATTTTTTTTTTAAAAAAATGATATTTATTGCAATATGTTTGAAAGAAAGTTGGTTTTGTCTTTGTTTTTAAGTCTGATCTCAAGTTCTTATCTTAACATACATATTTAAAATGCTGAAGCCTAAATGTGACAACCAAAATGGACCCTTGGAATGGGAAATCAAGGTTGATTTTGGTGACGAGCTCTAAAAAAATAAACCTCTGTACAGTTATTTTAGTGTGCAGGGCCAATTCTCATGTTTGCTGGTATAAGACCAGAAGCATCATAGGTCAATGAAATCCCTACAGATTTACCAAAGGTAAGAACAAAATATAAGCTGGAGAATCCTGCTCACATTCATAAGCAGAACTCCTCTTTCACTTTGATGAGTACCAAAAATCACATTCAGACAGTATCATTTTTTTATTTCACAGACTACTGGAGAAACAATACTGTTGTAAACATGGAGGTTTTAAAATGTTATCACCCAGTCTGAATGTGAAGGACACTCAAAAGTACCCATGTCAGTGCTCCCAGTATGCCTGGGGTGAAGTATGATTGAGGGGAGATGCAGTCTGCATCTGTCTTTAGAAAAATCATCTCAGTTCACATAGAGACACAGAGTTGATAAGTCATCAGATGGAAAAGTGGGCAGGACATGGAATCTTAGAAATGTGCATAACTGGATGGATATTAACATTAGTGTCTTGTCCTGTTTATGATAAAAGCTCAATTTTTGTCACCATTTCCAGTACTGGTACTTGCACTGAGCATGTGAGTACCTGCATATGCACACACATATTCCTATGGGGAAGGATTCAAGAGAATGGATTTATTTCTGTAATATTTGAAGTTTCTGAGCTCTTACCTCTCTTCCTTACTGAGATGGGCCAGTTTAACAGCCTTTCTGGTAAGGATGAAACTGAAAAGAAAAATATGACATATAAGTATCTTGCAGCCTCAGCACTGAAGCCTATTTACAAGCTTTTCATAGCATCATAGAATCATAGGGGTTGGAAGGGACCTCTGAAGATCATGGAGTCCAAACCCCTTGCTGCAGCAGGAACACCTAGGGCAGATCACACAGGAATGCATCCAGATGGGTCTTGGAAGTCACCAGCAAAGGAAACTCCACAACTTCTCTGCACAGCCTGTTCCAAGTTCTCCAACACCCTCACAGTAGAGAAGTTTTTCCTCATGTTGAGGTGGAACTTTCTGTGTTGTAACTTGGTGCCATTTCCCCTCATCATATCACAGGGCATCACTGAAAAGAGACTGGCCCATTCTTGACATCCACCCTTCATATATTTATAGATATTAATAAGGTCCCCTCTCATTCTTCTTTTCTCAAGACTAAACAGGCCTGGGTATCTCAGCCTTTCCTTGCATAATAGATGTTCCAGTCCTTTAATCATGAATTTCAATCGTTTTGCTTGAAATTACTCTAAAAAGACAGGCAAAGCACTTTACTGGTATGTAATGTGCTTGACATTTTTTAATCATACCTGATTATAGGCCACATGGGTGAAAAGGCCTGTGTAGAGTTACTCTATGGAGCTGATTGAAAGGGAAGGCAGGCATTCCCAGAGGGCAGGTACAGAGGTCTGCCTGGCAGCTACCAGGTAAGTAAGCTCTAAAAAGACAGGCAAAGCACTTTACTGGTACGTAATGTGCTTGGCATTTTTTAATCATACCTGATCACTTAATAATTATAGGCCACATGGGTGAAAAGGCCTGTGTAGGGTTACTCTATGGAGCTGATTGAAAGGGAGGGCAGGCATTCCCAGAGGGCAGGTGCAGAGGACTGCCTGGCAGCTACCAGGTAAGTAAGTTGTGGATTGGAAGTATGATTTCAAAGCTGCCAGCACTGGCCTCATTTTGCTCTGTGGGAATGAACTCTCCATCCCCACTGACTCCAGAGATCAACATTACACCCAAAGTGTGCAGAGAGACAACAGTTTCCAGCAAACTAGCTTGCACTCCCTACCTTCTTCTACCTAGGTCTTATCCAAAAGGACTGAGACCCTGAGTTTTCTTGAATTTGCAAGTCTTGCAAGCAGCTGGCCATACCACTGCCTGAGTCATTTGTTGTTAAGAAGCAATGACAGCTTGCTGCTCTGACAAGTGCTGCACAGTGTAATGGACCAGTCCCGTAAGAACTGGGACTAAAATTTATTCAGCTTGAAGAAATAGATTTGGTGATTAGTTCATCTGATCTTAGTGGAGATACCCAGGGGATACAGCATGTTCCTGCATTCTTTGAGAAAGTTGCATAAATCCACAAGGAGATGCAGGACACTCTTTGCTATATGGGGTGTGGAGGAGGCTTACTGCTCTCAGGGCGTGGAAGTTTTTAAACCTTGAACATGCCCATAAACCTACACAGTTCAGTAGAAGTGGCAAGCTTTCCTTGCTAGATACTTAAGGAGTAGTTGCCTGACATATATATTGGCTTCTTTTGGCAGTCTAACATCGGATTACAGTGGAAACATTTGTGAGCATTGCTTGTTTATATTGGCTCTAGCCTAATTTAAAAGCCAGTCATAGCTGTCACATATTTTCCCCGTTTGTCTAAACTATACAACTTTTTTGGTTGGCATTTTCTTCGAGAATTTCTTCACTGCACAGCTGCTGCTCTGCTCAACCACCACCTGATGTTCATTGTCCTGTGTCAGCTCAATGGGGAGAGGAGGCAAATGATAATTTCTTGGACAACTACCTTTGATTGCTTGTTTATATTGGATCTAACCTAATTTAAAAGCCAGTCATAGCTGTCACATATTTTTCCCATCTGTTTGTCTAAACTATACAACTTTTTTGCTTGGCATTTTCTTCGAAAATTTCTTCACTGCACAGCTGCTGCTCTGCTCAACCACCACCTGATGTTCATTGTCCTGCGTCAGCTCAATGGGGAGAGGAGGCAAATGATAATTTCTTGGACAACTACCTTTGAATTTTGGTTTAGATGCTAAATACAAGGTCCAACATAAGCCAAATACAGGCTCACAAATCTGGGTAAGAAAGGGATTTCACAGAATTGTAGGATCATAGAAAGTTTTTGGTTTGAAGGGACCTTAAAGATCATCTAGTTCCACCCCCCATGTCTTGGACAGGGACACCTCCCACTAGACCAGGTTGATCTAAGCCCCATCCGGCCTGGCCTTGAACACTTCCAGGGAGGGGGCATCCACAGCTTCTCTGGGCAACCTGTGCCAGTGTCTCACCACCCTCACACTAAGACTTCCTAATGTCTAACCTAAATCTACCGTCTTCCCGTTTAAAGCCATTACCCCTTGTCCTATCGCTACATGCCCTTGTAAAAGGTAGATTTATCTCTAAATCTACTCCACAGCAAAAAAAACCCAAAACATCAACTGTATGCTTAAAACTAACTACAGCTGAATTCAGCAACTCCTTCCCGACCATCTCCTTTGTATTAGGCTATTTGTAGCAGAAGCTTCACCTAAAAACTTTTACTAAGTAGAGATGCAGAAGAAGCTTTTAAGGAGTGCTGTCCTCCATCTGTGAAGACTGGGGACCACTGTAATGTGGCCATTTTCCCTCTTCCTCCTCTTTCCACTCCTTTGCACAAAAAAGAAATAGACATCTGTAAGTATGGGCTAAAAGCTCCTAACCCCATAATGGCAGGGAAAGATCCATCAGGTTTCGTGTCATCTATGGTTATCCCAATTGGAGACTCTTCATCCTCAATGAAGAGGCAACCACAATAACCTACATAGACAAAAGAAAGCAAAATTACTGTCAGCAAAACTTGTTGAAGATCATTGTTTCTGATAGAAATGAGCAAAGAGAATTATCCATAAAAGGACTTGTACAGTAAGACCTTTGCACCAATAATATCTGAATGTCTGAAGTGTTTTCGTAATGGTCTCTCTCCTCTCTGCCCTCTGACTGTGGGAAATTTTGTACACAGACTTATACAAGTCATATTTAAATTCCATTCCTGTTTAGCAAGGAATTTCTGTGGATTGCTGTAAGTCTCTTTGCCTTTCTATACTGTGGGCAACAAACATGCAAAATAAATGGATCTAGCAAGAACTATGATGGTTCTTTCCATGAACAAGTTTGTCCAAAACAACAGCAGCAACAGAACCCAGTGTGATTACATGTGGTCACTGCAGGCTCAAATTTACACCCTGTATTGATTTTACTGATAAGACTGTCAGGAATAGTAGCTTGTAACAGTAATGCAGCAAAAACACGGGCCTTTTATTGTAGTATCACATCAGTACGTGCTTCAGATGAACATACAAAAATACAGATAACTGTGTATAAACCTGCCTACATTTCTTTCTAATGCCAATGTCCAGTTATGCCCTGAAACATGTAAAATTATATTCTTTTGATTAAGAAATATTCTTGCCCAGTGCAACTCTCAGTATCATTACACAGGAAGTAGAAACTAATCTGTTCATACAAATAATCTGCAAATGGTATCAGTTGGAGATGAGAAACACATGATGTTGCAGCACATAGAGAAAGTACCCTGAATTAAACAAAAGCTAACCTACTTTGTCCAGTCCCCTGAGATACCAAGTCTGCAGAACAGAGGATTAAAAAGAGGGAAAGGTCTTGCTTACACCTTAAGCTCTCCTTATCATCGGCTTTAAATTCTCTTGGGCTGCCTTAACTCTGTCCCTGCTGCAGGGTCCCTCCTTCCTGCACATGGCAGGTTTCAGCAATATTTCCCAGGGAAACCCTGCTTGTTTTCTCATTCATCCCTCCTCAGCTAGAGCACAAGATTTTGGATCCTGTTTGAGTCTGGACTCATCTTTGGGACAGGGAGTGCACTCAAGCCTGGAGGAAGAGCCCTCCTTAGCCCTTACATTTCACTCTTCTGTGTGTTTGGCTTAGGAGTTTTGCACATTTAACACCCCCTGCCTTGGATTTATTCTTGATAGACAGCAGAGCTTCAAAATTTATCAAGCACAGGCCTCCCAAGTCATCCACTTTCCCCACATACCCTTCCTCTCCCAGAAAGCTTCCCTGTAGTACATCATGCATTTTATGACACAGCCCATAGGCACACGCTGAATTAGCTGGTTTCTCTTTGGTGGCAGTTCTGGTTTATAATGAATCTTCGTTGTTAGGATTGGAGGGATAGCAATGATCACATACTTGCTCTGAAATATAAAACACAGTCTGTACAGACAAGGCACTGCCTCTCCCAGGACATGTTTGAAATGCTATTATTGGTTGTTCACAGCTTTCCCACACCTGACTGCTATTTGGCTTTCCCACACAGATTTTTCCAGGTGATCAAAATTCTGCCATTTCAGAAGAAGAAAAACATGACCCACATTTGTCTAAATTATAAGTTGTTAAAAAAAATAATAAATAATTTTGTCACTTTCATGGGATAATACTTCAGGACAAGCATCATTGATGGTGACTTCAGCTTTTCTAAATGCACTCTGTCCCTCTCACAAGTCCTGTATCTGACTAGAGCGATGAAGAATGCTCTGCTTGGGAGCTCAGGGTGACGCCGTATCACACCAGATACTGCTGTTCTCAGGCTTACTCATGCTGGTGAGGCCACTGAGTGCAGGAAGCCTGTCTCCTCTGGCTTGGCTGCTGTTCAGCCAGCATGAGGGAGAAGCTAGTTGTTTAACTCCAGGATTTAAAATTCCTTGGGTGGCGGAGAGAGTCTCTCCTCCAGCACATCCTTAGACTGGCTTCTCTGTTAAATAGCTCCTTCCCTTTCTGCTAGTTTTGTCTAAATATCCTCCAAATACTGCCACTGGTGAGACAGGGCTCTTGCAGATTGTGAGGGTCCTGCACAAAGCCCCGTGGCAGGCTAGGCTCTGCGTGCAGAAGGGAGCTGCCACCCCATGTGTGCCACTGTAGGAAATCAAGTACTGATAGAACATTTCATGGCACTGCTGCACAGAGGTAAAATCTTACTACAGGCACTTGAAATGTCTTCTTTTTGTTGTTGTGCAAACCACATAAACAGGAGCATTATTTTCCTTTCTTTGAAATGGTGTCAATGCAGAACTGTAACGTTAAAATATATATAATCACAGAAAAAGTTAAGGCAGAAAAGGCAGAGTAATGACAGAAAATAACTAGCACAACAGCAAGAGACCCAGTCATAAATAAATCAATAAAGCAGGTTCCACAGAGTGTCAGAGTAGTCTGAGAAATAGACATGCACAAATGGGTACTTCCTGATTACATCTGGCTAAAAGCTACTGCAGATGTATTCCCCCACTAAATGCACATTCTACTTTTATTCTGATCAAATTACCTCATATATCTGGTGGTTTAGAGTCTCCACAATGACATTACCACCTGTCTGATCAATACGGACCACAGGTTGCTCCAGTTTAACTCTGCCTTTGAGGCGTGCCATTATTTTCTCTGATATCTGACCAGAACCCCCTTTAAACTTCCTCTCCTAGAAGAAAAAACAAAACAAAACAAAAACAAAAAATAAACACAAAGAAAAAAATCACCAGCATTAACCACAATGACATTTAATATGTCTTCTGCTCATAATCAAGAATCTCCAAGACAAATCTGCAAGTCCTAAGGGTGGGTAAACAGGCAGAGACTTTCAGAAGAGCACAGACCTGAGTCTCAGTGGGGACCGCTGCCTAAACCACTTTTGCTATGGTTTCCTCAATTAGCTGGCTTAAATAATCTTGAAGCCTGGAGAATAAACATAATAATCCAGGTATTCTAGCTAGTATAAATATATCACTTAATTAAAAAGAGGTTTTGAATATTTTACTCATCACAAAACCACCAATTGCATCTGTACAGCCAAAGCCTGCACCCGCCCAGAAGCAAGAAAGATCTTTAACTGCATCTGGCCTTGAGTGTAGGAGGCAATGAGCTTTATCGGTCCCTAGGAAGACACGAAGACATTGCTGTCTGGAAAAAAAACATGATCTGTGACACGTATTTCCTTATGATGTCTGTGAAGAAGCTCAGGGGAAGCACTAACAGTCATTTATCTACCACCCACCAGCTCTATCAAGCAGCTCACTCTTACATGTAAGATGCTGGTACTGCCAGGGAGGAAAAGATACACAAAGCCTTGTGCTGAAAGACTGAAATGGATGCCTGAAGAAGTTTCAAGACTTGCCATGGCCACTAAGTCAGAAACCCTCAACATTTTTGTTCAGCTGGTTTTGACTGGGGTGAGGGGAAACAGAAAGATGGTAGAAAATCAAAACATCTTGCCCCATCCAGGTACAAAGAAAAGGAAGTGCTCATTCCAGGCTAGCTTTCCTCTACTCATGCCTTGTTTAACTATGACGATTTTTGAATTAATTTAATTCTTGCTGCAACATATACCAGTTGCTGGTGTGAGACAGCAAATGTGGCTGAAGGGCTTCCAAGGAGGAAGGCTGTTGGGTCTTGTTCCTACTGCAGGGCAGCATTAGCTCTATTGACATCCTTCCTAACACGTGGTTGATTATTCTTTTCCCAATGGACAGATGTTGATGGAGACTTTGCACCTCTCCAGGCAACTTATCTTAATTGTCTCCCTGCCCCAGCAGATTTGGAAGGGTTTGGTACTGTCTTCATTTTTGTTGTTGGCAGCTTCACTCTGAAATGCTGTGTGTGTTTTCTGAGGCTGCATTAGCTGAGTTAAGATGCTAGTAAAGACTGCAAACATACCACATCCAAATTACTCTGACAGCCCTCTCACCTTTTCTGAAACTTCATTCAGAATAATCACACAAACACCATGGACCTCCCAGGGCCAAGGCAAGAAAGAGTCTGAAGTAGCTCATTAAAATATGCTGTCATATGAGCTGTTGCAAGAAGGAAGGGCCTTTTGCTACCTGCTTCCAACTATTGTCATTAGAGGCTTCAATGCTAAAAACCATATTACACACTAAAGTACACTTGCTTTGAAGTCTTGAAAACATTCAAATGTGCTAAATAACCCATAGATTGGAAAAAAGGCAACAAAACAGCAACAAAAGGACTGTGCTGAAGTGAATGAAGAAAAAAACAACTGATTAAATTGTCCCTGTTTATCCCAAAGTCTAGCTAATAAAAGTCCTCATTGTACAGAGTTAGTCGAGAGGGCTGTTCCATCCCATGAGAACATAATTGTCTCCAGTGCCACATGAACTTGGTGTTTCATGCTCTTTTGACTAATTACAGGGCTCTGGTGGCTGCAACACCCCACTTGCTTTTTATGGCTTCAAGAGAGGAGGAAGAACATGAGACATTTTGTACCTGGCCTCCATTGGTGATAGAGAAAATTCTGGACGTGCCCCCACACTGCCTCACGTACCACAGGAACCAGAGAGCAGAGACTTCATGAGGCTCAGAGGTGACATTGACATTCACAAATAAGGTGGCAAATTCTTTAGCAGCTCTGCATGAGACACGGGAGTAGAAACAGGCAGTGAGTAAATGTGACTTCCTGACTGCTTTCAGGAACTGCGTTGTTATTCTTGATAAGGATTGCTTTCCCAAAGTCAAAAAAAGCCAAGATTGTTCATATCCACCTCATTTTTTAGTTTGTAGTTAAGACTGTTTCAACTGGTTTATATTAGCACCTTCCTCCTTCCCAAAGCATTTACCCGTTCAGTTTGAAATCCCACTGATTTCATCTTAGTTATTTCTTTAAACAGTTTTCCACTTGCTAAGCCTTTCATCAGAACAAATATTTTTCTCAACAAAAGAATGCATTTGGTTACCAGCTAGTGAAACTCTTCTGCATTTTTCCTCTTTGTGGAGATCATCAGACACACAATTATCAAGGTCTGATTAGTCCCAAGGGACTGAAATACCCACATGGCCAAGACATTCTCTATGGTGCATTGGTGCACATACCTTCTTTGAAGCAAAGAATCAGACATGGTAGATAATCAAGAGAGACCAAATTGGCAGTCATTGCCATATGAGCTGTCTACCATAGTAAGTCAACCGAATGTAAACAGTTACAGCAGCAAGGAACAAAATCTGGCTATTTACATTTCTTTCATTTCTGGCTACAGATTGCTAAGAGAATTGAGAGCATTTTGCAAGAAGGTGAAAGGTCTTTGGCTTGGATGAAGGTTCATAAAACGACATGGATTTATAATGATCGGCTAAAGGAACTTTGCAAGTTATCTGGGCTAGAATAGGTAATTTATAAACTTTTATAACATAATTACCCCGAGCGTGAAGTCCAGACACCTCTATTTTATTAGCCAGGATAAGAAAACATTCTGTATGCAAGAATCCTCTGCAACAACCCTAAAAACACCAAGACACTAAAAAGTTGTAGCAAGTTTAGAGAAATGTGAAGGCTCTCTTCAGGATCAGTAGATGCTGATCTGTGACATATGACAACCAAATCTTTTTTCATAATCTTGACCCAAGTCGTACAGAAAATCTTGCAGGAGAGATTTTCTGTTTAGTTTTTTAACTACGTAAAGAGAAACCTCGTTTGGCTTGAAGATCTAAAATGGGTTTTTACTATTCATTTTTTTAAAGCATGTTTCAGCTGAGCACATCCGTTAAAACTGGAGTGCCACAAAACCACCAGTAGTAGCAGCCAGTGTACAGAGAAGTGTGTTACAGGAGAGATCACTATGAACCCATATTGAACACTGTACATGTTTTATTCATATATTGTGGTCTTTCATAGACATATAAAACACACTGATCCTTTTCTAGGCAATATATCACCTTAGGCCCTCTTCCTACCAACTAGGATTGATGGTCTGGTGTTGGACCTGGTGCTCACAAATGAGGAAGATCTGTTGGATGCTGAAAAAGGTGAAGGGCAGCCTTAGCTACACTGGCCATGAGACTGAAGATCCTGAGAGGAGTAAGACCAGCAGCAGAGCTATAACCCTGGATTTTGGAAGAGTAAATTTCATCCTCTTCAAGGACCTGCTTGGCAGCATTTCATGGGAAACTACCCTTGTAGGGCAAAGAGGCCCAAGAGAGCAGCCTGGCATTCAAAGCCAGCTTCCCAGGAGCACAGGGAGGTTGCACTGCAATGGGCAGAGCTAAGCAAGTGCAACAACAGGATGAACATGGAGCTCCCAACCAGGCTCAGGCACAAACTAACTAGAAAAGTGAAAGGAAACAGGGACGATTTCCTTGGCTGCCTTCTTTTCCTCCAAGGGTTTCAAAGGCCCAGCAAAGCACTACTCCTGAAACAAGGAGCAGCATTTGAACTTCTCTGGAGTTTCTAGAGCCAATAGCTGCTCACTTCCCCTCCTCGGGTCTCACAGTGCCCCATCCATTGATTGACCACTGGAAAGCAGCTGCCTTCTGGCACAGTGTCCTGCTCTCTGATACACCATATCAAGACACATGATAACAGCAGGAGAAGACATCACTGAGGCAGAGGACATCACTCCTCAACTGTTAGCCTACCACGGGTTTGGTGAAGCCCCCTCATCTCCTTTTGCATCTATTTCTATGCCTGCAAGTGACCTTTATTCATACCTACAAAGCAGAGTTTTCTTTACATGTTGCTTTTCCTAAAGACAAAGGCACAAGTTCTCCAAATGAATTAAGTGAAATCATGGTAAGAAGAGCCCACACTGTCACTTTCATGTGCATGGGCCCTATTGAAGCAAATCCCAGGTTTCCACAGCACATTTAATCCCATCTACCAGCCAACCCAAATCCTGTGTACCACTTTATCCTCCACAGGCCCCACCCACCATCTGACAACAGCCCATCACAAAGACCAGCCTAATCTCAAACACCTCCTGTTCTCTCACCACTGCTACCACAGTTGTACCCTGGAATTTGCCAGGGAGCCACTATCATTCTGCAGCTGGATCTCAAAGTGAATGAGGAGTTATTTACTTGGTCCAGCAAATCTTATTTATCAGCTCTTCCATGGTCATCTTGTCCCATTCTTCAGCATGTGGAGCATCCCATGGAGCTTCAGGAGGAATCTGGAGATAGAAGCAAAATAGTTAAGAAATTATTCAGCACTATAGCATTGCCTAGTCATAACTAGTTTGTAGCATGGAGTCATATGTTGGCCAGGAGTTGCTTTTGTCCCCTGCACATGGCTGTAAATTGGGAACACATTCATTAAATGTAATAGTTTCTATTCAAATCTTTTGGGCATGAATAGTACCATGACAACCAAATGTGGCTTTGTGTGACCAGTGAACTATATTCATATGTTTGGTCTCATCCAGCCTTCAGTCACTCAGAAGTGAGCTGTCTATTCTAATTGTCTTGGTGTCCTTTAACAGCTGAGGGAAAAATGATTTCTCCAGTCAGAGAATCATTCAGTTATGACATAGGCATCCAAGGGCCCCTATGTCTCTCTGTTAACTACAGAGGGAGCAAAAATGTCTAGATAGTATTAATTATTTTTAGACAAATTCTTAATAATAATCCATTGCATGTAAGTACTATGAGATTTGAGGGTACTATATTTGAATATTTTAAAAATTCTATATTATTTGACAAAAAACGTGTAGTATCATGCACAACTTTGATTCTGCAAAACCACATGTTGAATTTTACAGATATACAGTTAGTTATGCTTGAAGGTTATTGTAAGGAAGGGCCCCTGGCTTGTAGCCAGATTACAAGGCAACTGATAAATATTTGAAAGACAGCATGAAGCCCTAGGGGCTACTTTTTGCACACAGTAAGATCTGCAGTAGTACTGCTTGAGTTTTGAAGGCATGTAAGAGCTTGAGAAATAAAATTCCTATAAAGCCAAACTGGAGCCCAGCTTCGGTAGCTACAGAAAAGAACAATCCTTACTTGAAAAGGCTGTCACAGGGCAAGGAGAAAAACCCTTCTCATCTCCCAACTCATGGAATGTTTTTTCCCTGACATGAGGAAGTGCATCCACTGAGATTCAACCTCATTTTTTCAGATGTCTTCAACACATCCAGATCTTTTTTATCTTCTTGCAGACTCACAGAATGGTTTACCTTTAAAAATCATCTAGTCCAACCACCTCACAGTGAGGAAGCCCTGCTATTCCTGATAATTCCTGGGCAACAATTATCTTTCCTGATGGATGTTCCTTTTTTTTTTCTTCTTTTTTTTTTTTTTTTAATCAAATCAGCAATAAACAAAGCCAGCCAGAAGCAAAACCGAACCAAACCAGATTTACTCATGATGACATTAGCACTGTAAGAAACAGAATCAATTTACACAGCCTACCTCTTCTCCCATCTTGTCCATGGTCCTCCAGAAGTTATTGTAATCCAGATAAACTAAGGGATTCCACGTTGAAGGGGAAATACCCGTGAAACAGTGTGACTTTCCCTAAAAATCCACACATAAGCATTAGCAACTGAAATAGACCAGATCATATCTTCATTCCTCAAGAAAACTAAGTTCCCAAAGTTAACACATGGTTGTACTTTTGTTCCCAAAGACCTAGCTTGCTTTTTTCCTTTTTGGCTGGTTTGGTTTGTCTGAGTTTTGGCGCTTTTGTTTTGTTTTGGTTTTTTTTTTTCCTTCACATGTATGTAAGCAATGGAATGCAGGAAGCTAAGTATGAGGGTAGAAAACAGTTGGGCTGACATTAAAAGACCAAATAACACCTGGGTTTTTTAGTTCAGAGGTGTTGGGAGGGGTACATTTGTTCTGAGCAGTTTTTCAAATTCTGAGGAGTCTCAAGGAGTCTCTAAGGAGACTCCAGCAGTGGACAGGAGGTAATATTCCTTGTTCCTAAGCATTCATCATTATTACATGTAAATTCATCTAATGTTTGCCTGCCTGCTGAAATACACATCCTAAAATTTGTATGGGTCTAAAGTTGCATGCATATGGTACACCTGACCTAGAAAAAAAAAAAAAAGGTACCTTTTTATTATGCCAAATACCTTGGGAGAAACCTCGGCTAAGAAAAAAAAAAATGCTAAAAGGAAAGTTTCTGGTTGCAGGAAGAAAAAAATCATATGCTTGCAAAAATGTTATCAGTGCTTACAATGTGTATGACACAGAGCTGCAACAGGAATGTGGACTGTTTCAGATAATCCCGTGATACAATGATAAGCGAAACAATCTAACAGCAGCTGGTTCTTTGTGATAACTGTAATCTGAAAGGGGACTAGATGAGTAGGCAGCATTTTCCCTCATTAAATTGCTTTGAACCTTTCCCCCATGTAAGTCAATGGCAAACTTCTCATCAGACCTCTTAAATGTTTGCTCTTCCAGGTACGTTGATGGCATGAGATCGTGTAGCAGGATGCAGCAAACATGCTGAAGCATGACAGGCAGGAGCTGTGGTGCTAAGCTGTGTGCAATACACTTCTCAGTGCAATGCGTGCCATGCCAGCTCATTGCACCTGGCAGATGAGAGTCACAGACCAAGGGAAGGGCTGCAGTGCTGCAAAGGCATGAGATGGTGACTCAAGGACAAGGGGACACAAAGCAGGAGCCAAATCTCCCTTCATCAAACTCACAGAGAGAGAATTTAGTTGTCTTCCTCAGTGATAATTGTGTGCACGTGTATAAATATATACGGATTTCTGGTACTCTTCAAAACTTTTTTTCCACAAAGAATGTGGAAAATGTGAAAGTAAGAAAAACTTGTGTCATGCCCAGGCCAGGTATGATGGAATCCTCTGCATGACACTTCCTCTTCCTTTTCCTTTACACTGATTTTTCACTGCCAAATTGGAGTACAGTGTGTTTAGCCACAGAAAAGAGGACCAAAAAACACAAGCAAAGTGATATATTGCACACTACAGCTTTTACTGCCATAAAACAATGTTGTATCAAACAAGGAAATCCTGATACAAAGCAGTAATAACTTGCTGATAATTTTCTTTTTATTGCACAACATCTCGTTTTTCAAAAAGATCATTAAAGTTTATTTATTGCTAGACTTTTTATTCAGGTCAGGAATGCAGGTGCCATCAGTGTGTCTTCCTTGTTGTGCTTCAACACAAATAATCCTGCCCTTAAGCAGAGACGAAGAGAATTGCTGTCAGACCACCCCAAATCAGCTGAAGTTATTACCTAGTTACTACTTATATTCTGTCATGTTGATATTGCAAGGGGATGAAGGGAAAAGATAAACCTACCATTCAGGTTTAGCAGGAAAAACTTCTCAGTTTTTCACTGCTCAGTAAGCCCTCTTTTCACACAGTTATTCAATAAGTGACTGTACTTTTACTAAGTGTTGTAACTTGCAAATACCTATCCCTGGCTTACTAACTAAACCCCTACTCTTACTCCCTAAAAAAACCCTACTCTTTCACTACTGGTCTGCAAATATTATTATCCCCACATCTGGTCAATTACTTAGTCCAAGAAGATCAGTGGGGAAAACACATTTTAACCCATGAACTATGAAATGTCTACTGATAATTAACACAGCCTAAAGTTGGTTTACTTGCTGCTCTCTTTTGCATGCAAAACCCCAGAACTTCAGTAAAATTGGAGATGGACCAAGGGCAGGAAAAGCTGGAAAAATACAACAATGCTAAGAGACCTGGAGGAGGCTGAGACTGAATTCATGACCCTGAAGTAGTTCACAGGTACACCAACTCTTTTGCAGGGGGCTGGACCTATAACAGATGGAGAGAAGCCCAATTCTAATAAATTTCAGTAGAGAAATTACCACTCTTCATCAGAAAGAGTGCACCCAACAGCCTTACCCACATCAGGTATCAGAAAGAGTGCACCCAACAGCCTTACCCAGAGAGTTTCTACCCCCTCTCTTGCACAAGTATCCCCCTCCACTACAGGGAATGAATCTGGCCCAAATAACCTGGGGCTTTTAATTTACTCATTTGTTTTAAATATTGTTTTCCTACTAACTAGAGGAGCTCTGGCTTCATGCTTCACAGAGGAGCTCACTGTAAGCAGGCAAGGTCTTGCAATATTCCATTTTTAAACAAGTTTATAGTGTTCTGGGTATATTGTTTAGACACCTACTGTTTTCTTAAATGAAAGGCAAATAACCTACTGGCTTCGATCCCATGCTAACACGAGGCTGCTTGACTAACCCACAGAGTTTATCTAACTATTTTTTAATTTCCTAGTGTGCCAAAAGCTTTCCTGCAGACCCCAGATTTGACTCCTGTTGTCTGCCTGGATTAGTTACTCCACACCAATCCAAAGGAAACAGTATTCCCAAGCAGCATAGTTTGGTGGTTAGAAAAAAGGCAGCAGAGAGAGATATGCTCTGCAAGGCCTGTTTTTTTCCTTGCCTAGGGCTACTGTGGCTTGTAGCTGTGACTAAAGGATTTAAATCCAAGCCACCTCACTCTGACACTACCTTAGGTTTCAAAGGGCAGCAGAAAATTTTGCTGGTCTTGAGAAAGGCAAATCTGACTCCTGTCCTCCATGCTGAGCATGAGCTACACATCAGGAAGCAGAGGGGAAGCATTCCTTCTGCCCCAGGGCAAGGGACTGCTTTTGCCCTCAGGTCAGGCACAGCACACACAGCTAGAGCAGTGGCTCCCTAAGGTGTGAGCCCTCAGGTGGGCATCCTTCCCCACTCGGTATCTCCATCAGGTCTAGCCTTGCAAGCCCTGCAGTATCTTGGACTGTCTGCAAATCCTGGGTCCAAACTGCAGATTTACAGCAATCTACACACAGTTGCAGACTTATGGCTGCACCCCCCTCTTAAATTTTAAAGCTAGATGGAGGGAAGGAAAAACGAGATGACCAATGTGAAGCATTGAATACAAAAGCTTATCTTTTGTCAAAAGTTACCATGTTCTGGAAATCACAATTAAACAAATAAGGAAAACCAGTCCTTATTTACTAATGCTCCATATATTGGAGCTGGGTGCTGCGGCCAGATGCAGTTACGTGAGAAGGTTAACACCACATCAAGTCCCTAACACCTGTACTTTCTAGGTTCTTCTGGTAAAGAGAAGGTGAAAATACAGGTCCTTCAAGGACCTCTGTAAAAATAAAAAGCTATCTGTCTCTTCTGGGAAGAAACAACTACAGCACATGTGCCTTTTCACACTCCTAAAGCATTCTTGAGGAATTATGGGACAGTAGTCACAGAGATATCGGGCTGGAAAGAATGTCTAGGGCTTGTAACAAACTCTGCAGTTTGAAGACACAGATTTATGACAAAGGATACAAAAAATTTCTGATTGATATCAAAGCAGTCCATGTTACCAAGTTAACTGATGGGAAGGAATAAACAAACCAAAAAAACCCCAGTAAATAGTTACATATTTGGATTTTTCAAATAAACAGAAACTACAAAGGAAACCTGCCCACATAAAACAACGTGGTTTTTAAAGCTTGCAGTATTCTGAATTTTTCCACACACATATGGGAAAAATTCCTTTCAGAGCAAAGTAGCTCATGAAAGCCCTCTGGGGATTTTCACTTTCCCTTGGCTGTTTCCGCTGCTAGGACAAACCATTTCCCCACTTTCCCTTAACTCAATTCAAGCAGTGTCCTGGAAACTTTCAGAAAGAGACAAACTTAACTTCTTAGTATGGCAAGGAAAAGATAAAAAAATCTATTAATCTAACGATTCTGGAGATTATGTACTGTTGAATGATTGTCACAGCAAAATCTACAGCTACACGTAGTCCTTCCTCACAACACTCTCCCTCTCACCTCTGACAAAACTGCACAACATTGCAGACTTTGGAGAAAGGCCCTTGGGAAGAGACCTTCCTGTCTGGCCCTGGCTATATTCTCCCTCATAGCCATCAGCTGACACAAATAACAGACGAGACACAAGGAGAAAAGTTATAGCCAAACTTTTCAAAACTGAAAGGCAGCAAGTGGCCCATGGCTGACAACATTATTAGCTCAAGAAGCTGAACACATCCATCTTTCAGATTAATATTTAATTTTTGAGGCAATTATCCTTTAAATTCAAATAATCTCTTTGCTAACACATTTTCTATCTGTAGGAAATACCACAGGTTCTTGGGTGTCCGGAGCACCTGTAATGAATATGAGGGTTGCACCTATAGCCAGAAGAGCACAAATCCCCACCTCGCCAACTCACAGCATGATAACCATGCAGGTTACCAGCAGGTAGGTAAAATGTACAGGTCCTAAGATCTCCCAGCATTTTCAATAGACTTCGTGTAGAACTGGGAGGTAAGAGAGAGTTCAGCAACAGATCTCTAAAATTAAGGGCACAGTGACTACACAAGGTCAAAAACGCAGTGGAATACTTCAGGGAAAAAAAAAGACCAAAAAAAGACCTGCAATTTGTGGGAAAGGCTGTGGGAGGAATGAGACCTACTGGAGGCAAAGAATCATTATTATCTATCCAGTGCTTGAGTATGTACACATTGGGAGACCTTAAAGCCCCTTTGCTGTCACTGTGTTCCAAGAACTACACCTCCCTGGGGGACCCTAGTTAGCTCAACACGA